CCCGAATAGATCTATTTAAAAATATCAAGCTCTCCCTCTAGGAGACTCTGGTTATACTGTGGTAGGATTTTGTTCTGCACCTTGAAGGGTACAATTAAAGTGGTGCTTCACAACCTTGTATTAAGTAGTTTACGTCTAGTGTTGTAGTGTTCTCTTGTACTTGAAATCGTATGTATACTTGTCGGGTAGAAATAATTATACTTAGATAATTATTTAGTATTGTACTCTTGTGTTCAGGAAACTCATATTGTATGCCATAAACTAAATTTGTCATAGTTTACACGTTTGTTCGTGTATAAGTTCTAGAATTGATAAAATCATGTATTGAATCCCAAATATACCTATTATAGTTTGCATGTACGTTATGTATTTGATTTGCTTATTGTACTGAAAACTTTGCAATTATAATCGTTTTGTTGAAAACTTCCCTTATGCTCAACACATTACAAAATGGATAAAATATCTAAATATTTTATAAAATGTAGTGATTTATAATTGTATCAATTGCATAAGTTTTAATGACTGTTGAAATCATTTGTATAAGAACACAAAATTTCTTAGTGTTTTGCTTGTATTCACCCTGAAAACGTTAAAAACAGAAAAATGTAGGGGTATGAACTCACAGTTGGTTATGTGTATGTGCTTGACAGCGAAACCAGAAGATAATCCTCGAGTTGGAGTATGCGGATTTAACGGTATCCCAATGATAATTAAACACATATTTGTATTTAAATTAGCGAAACCATTAATTATTGTGTTAGAAAACACTTTTTTTTGTGTTAGGAATGTTACCAAGACTTGTTTGAAATGGAATAAGTGGATTTGCTCACGTTGACGGCCTAATGTTGTTCATGGTTGGGATCCAGGTTTACAGCCGTGAACGGTGTTTGCGGCCCAAACAGGTTTACGGTCGTTACTGGGTTTACGACTGTAAGCGAGTTCACATCCCTGAGAGTTTGCGGTTGCTTGAAGATTTGAAGGTGTTCTTGGTGAAAATATGAAGATTTCAAGATTCAATCTTGATGATATGAATGTTCTTGGGAGCAAATGGAGCGGATTTTTTGGTGAAAAAGATGAAAAATGAAGAATGTCTCTCGGAAAAACATAAATATCGGCTGGGTTTACAACCGAAAATGGGTTCACGCTGTAAACCGGTTCACGGCCCAAGAGTTTGCAGTCAAAGGGTTTACCGCCCAACGGTTTGCGGTCGTAAACTCTTGGATGTTCGAGTTTTTGCTGATTTTTCGAGTGTAAACTTGATTTTTCATGCGTTTTTAGTTCTGATGGATTATGTAATATATATATATATATATATATATATATATATATATATACATATATATATATATATATATATATATATTTCTAACCCTCACGAGCTTAACGGAAATAAATACAATTCAAAATTTTATTTGATGAAGTTGACTTTTGTTGACTTGAAAGTATTGGGTTGTCACATAGGGACTAATTGATAATGCCACTTTAATCCTTGGGATATTCCAATTTGATGGAATAACTTTTTTCCTATTAAGTTGAACATTTTATTATGGAGAACACGATCAAATAAAGTCTCTCCTGCAGCTAATTTGGATAAGTAAATGATTGATGTTGGCTCCCTTTAAAGTTTGATTTCCAACTTACAAAACGAGACAATCAATCATATGCCACCTCAACCGTAACACCAAGGGGGAAATGATGTTCCCCATGTTACAACATGTTAAGAGGAAGAGAGACAAAGAAAGAAATGATTTGATTGGTTGATAAAGGCAACAACTAATTAAACTTCCCGTTGCATCTTGTGTTTGTCACAACGAGATATGCGTTAATACCCTCTTAACAAGAATGGGGGTTGTGTTCATCTTGTTATGACTATGTTATGAGGTGCGAGATTAGCAATAATACAATTTCTCGTTGCCAATACCATATGCTCTTACTAATCTCTTGTCTAGTGGCGTCTTCCTTTTGGAGCAAAATTGGTTGGCAATAGGATATTGCTATCCCTTACTTTACTACCGTCATATTGAATCACTTTGACGATCATGCGACTCTTAGTATAGTGCAAAGAAATTGTTTGGATGCGATTGTACTCATAGTTTTTTCTGTTCTTTAGAACTTTCAAAACTCTTCAATTTTTGGAGTAGTCAAACCAATGAAATTGACTTATTTGGCACGATTTTAAAGCATTTTATTTGGTTTTTTAATTGAATTTCTAAAATCAAACTTAACTGCGTTCGTTGACTATACAACCCTATCATTGATATTTCCACTTCGGGGTATGTTAATATAATCTAGCATTTTGCTAGTTTTAATAAAATCATTACCTTTCGAGAAAAGAAACTCGACCCCTATATCACCCCTTTTGGTTCGATTGGAGAGTATAGGAAGATAACCCAATCAAAACCTCTACATAAAACATTTATGCCAAATCCAATTAGATTCCGCACCTTACGCATGTTAAATACTCTACATTTAAGCATACTTGTAAAAGATCTAACTACGCATACTTGTAAAAGATCTAACTACGAATAATTGGGATTTTCCGCCATCAATATCTACATATTTGGATTTTGCTACCAAGCCGAAGAAATGTTTGCCAACCTCGATATCTACCATCGCCTTAGGGCTGCAACATGCCATCGAGTTTTGCCAACGACATGCCGATGTGGATTAGTTTTCCGGTGGCAACCACCACCTCTTGACAAGTGTTTTTTTTTTCATTGGTAAATCTCAATGGTGAACTCTCATTAATAGCAAATTGTTTGGAAGTTTGGTTTCCATTCTAAATATTGATTGGCCTTTGTAAATTTAGTTTTTTTTTTTTTTTTTTTTTTTATATATTTTTTTTTATTTTAAAGCTAAAAATATCATCACACTCTACTCAAAGACAAATTATGGCAAAAATGGTAAAATCCTATGTATCACATATGTGTTACAATTTTACCATTGACAAAACAACCATTATAGCCTTTAGCCTAAGTAAATAACTCCATTGTATGTGTTAATGCAGATGTCTTCTTCGATCCGATATGAATAACCTTGGAAAATGAAGAAATACCAATTTCGGGTACCATTCCATTTATAGAACCATAAGCCTGATAAAATTAAGCAGCTCATGCTTTGAAAATGCTACTTCATTTACAGGGATAATGACTTGAGAGGGTAATGTATTTTAGCTTTTGGTCACATTTGATTATTAAATTATTTTTCGTGTTTTACTAACACTCGAACTTGTTGAAATGTTTACGTTATACCATTATGACTAGTAATAGTGAGTTTTGTCGGTCATCTTTATTTGGGTTTGTTTCACAGGTTCAGATCTACTCAATTTAAAAACAAGAAACTGGAAAAACTAAAATAAGATAAGAACTCTGATGAGCTGAAACAAGACCAAAATGTGACGTACTTGTATTCTTCTGTGAACGATTTTCAAAAAAGTTTTGGTTTGAACACAAATCATTAAAGATCCAATAGTGATTCATCGAAACCTATCTCATATTTTTAAGGTTTTAATGGTTTCAATGGTGGTTCATCAAAACCCATCCCTGAAACAAAACCCATATCAGATGTGCTCATCGTCTCTGTAGACACATATACACACTGACTCGAAAAATCAAAGTTGGAATACGAACAAAATAAAAATGAGATTGAATCTAAAAAACGAACCACTAACTTGTTCTTGTGTTCATCATGTGTGTAGAACATAAAAATCCCTAAATCGATGGGTTTCGATATAAAAGGAAGCTCGAAATCTGAAATGAATCTTCAAATCTAAAAGAGTTACATCTCAGCCATTGATGAACGAGATGAAGAAGAAAAAGTATTTCAAAACTTTTCCCTTAAAACCCATATTTGAACAATAGGTGTTAGGGTTGCAGATCGGAGTTTGGTTTTATAGAAAATCAGAAGGAAGAAATGTGGTGTTCCGTAGAAGACAACGACGTTTCGACAAGGGTTTACCTTTGCTTGTTCCGACAAGGGTTTGCAGATTGGAGGTTACGATTTGTGAGTTCATTTTCGTGTGTTCATGTTCATGTTCATCTTCACGAGCTTCGAATTTTCACTCACAAACACCAAGAACCCACAGTTGGGTCATGGGTGTGTTTGTGAGTTCATTTTCTGATTTTTTGTGTCTAATTCTTTCAATAAAACCTAGATTAAAAGTGTGGCCGGAGGTTAGGAATGCCGAAAATGTCGCCGAAACATATGATTGCAAACCCCAGTATTACCGGTGATAATGATATAATGTATACGTTACAATAAGTTCAATGGTTAATAAAACATGAAAAATAATTTAATGACGAAATATGACTAAAAGCTAAAGTATGTTACACTCTCAAGTCATTATCTCATTTCTATTTACTTCTTGAATCTTATCAAAATTCATAGCATCAACACACTCTAAGCACCTATTTGAAATCAAAATCAGACCATTCTTCTATGAAAGATCAAAACTTATAATTTGATAATTATAATATACGAATGATGATTTTGTAAAATTTTAAGTATAAAGGTTTCTCTAAATTGTTTTGTAAGTCTAATTTCTTATATGTTTGTTATGAATCAAAATTAGTCATGCTCACCTAGAATTTGTCTCAGGGTTTTTTATACAATGAAGATGTGAATTTGTGTCAATTTTTTCTATAGAAAGTAGCAACATAGCATTTTCAGTTGGGAACACATAATTATTCTTTATTATAAAAGAAGGTATTCAATTTGTTGTTGTGCACAATAAATGCATTGCTCTTCCTCTCTAATTTTTGAAATCTAATTTCCTGGATACAAAAATTATTTCTACAAGATTGTCATCTCTCTCTCTCTCTCTCTCTCTCTCTCTCTCTCTCTCACACACACACAGGTCGAGCTCCATCAGCACTTCACGTAAAGATCTGGAAAATTCTGTCGGTTCTTGCTAGATGATCTGAGAGATGGGGTTCTCTTGATTTTCATATAATCAGCCAAAAGATTCAATTTTCAAATATTTCTTCTTGCTTCAACAAAAAATGGGTCAGAAAATCTTAGTTTCCAAGTACGAAAGACCTTACTATTACAACCGGCCACCTCTCTCACCACTGCCACCGCCACCTCCAGCCACCGCCAGTCACATATCACATGGTTTCAATCTAAACGATAAGGTGAGCCCAAGTGTTCTACTCATCATCATAATCTTTGCCATGATTTTCTTCATTTCTGGGTTGCTTCATCTTCTCGTTAGATTCCTTATGAGGCCAACTAATAGGGACCCAGACGAGTTTGATAATGTGACTGCCCTTCAAGGCCAGTTACAACAACTGTTTCATCTCCACGACTCCGGCGTTGACCAGTCTTTCATTGATACGCTACCTGTTTTCACTTACAAATCAATTATTGGTGTGAAAGACCCTTTCGATTGTGCTGTTTGTTTATGTGAGTTTGAAGGTGAAGATAAGCTAAGATTATTGCCTGAATGTAGCCATGCTTTTCATATGGATTGCATTGATACATGGCTCTTGTCGCACTCCACTTGTCCACTTTGTCGAGGTAGTTTGCTTTCTGATTTCACTCCAAATTCCTGTTCACCAGTTATGCTTCTTCTTGAATCCGGTAGCGAGATTTCTAGAGAGATAGCTAATTCTGATCAGCCAAATCCTTCATCGATCCAAAGAGTGAATTCCCATTTAAGTAATCCGGAGTTTGAATTTGATAAGGGTGAAATGGTAAAAGAAGATGAGAACAAGGAGAAAGTCGTTACTATTAAGCTTGGAAAGTTCAAGAACGTGGATGGTGGTGGTGGAGGTGAGGGTGGTAGTGACAAGCAAACGATTGATGGTAGGAGGTGTTTCTCAATGGGGTCTTTTGAATATGTGATGGATGATAACTCATCTTTACAAGTACTTATTAGGGCACAAACTAAGAAACTAGCCAGCAAAAAGTCTTGTCTTCCGATCACCCCATCTCACCGGGTGGCTATGTCAGAATGCGGTGGTGATTCAAGAAGAGATTTTAAAGAAATAGACGTTCTTGGTGGCGGAGGTGGTGCAGCTGGGAAGAGCAAGAGGGAGAGCTTTTCAGTGTCAAAGATTTGGCTTAGAGGGAAGAAGGAGAAGTCTAATCCAACGGTGGCTGCCGCCATTGGGACGTCATCAAGAGGGGTTCTCTCATTCCGTTTTCCGGTACACCGGAATGACATGAAGGCAAACAGCAGGGCTAATTCTGAATTGGATATCGAAAGGTGGGAAAATTCACAAGAATTTCAAACTTGTCGATGGTCGGATAACTTGGATTCATCACCCCAAGAAGCATCAAATCCACCATCTTTTGCAAGGAGGAGTCTACTTTGGTTTATGGGTAGGCAGCAAATCAACGTGGTTCATTCATCTTGCTCAACGAATGTTTAAAGTTTTTTTCCTCTATATATGTGCAACCTTTTTTTCTTGACTATTTTTGTGGTATTTTTCATTTTTTGGGAGATTAGATTATAATCAGTAAATGGAAACAAAATGTAGTCAAAGTTAAAGAAATTTAAATACAAATTATATATATGCGACTTTGTATATTGGTTTCTTTCAGGTTCTGTAAAGAAGTTGGATCATGATGTTGTCTTTTTTAGCTACAAAATGTTCTTTGCGGATTTGATAAGGTATACGGGTTTATACATTGGTAGGCCTAATTCATGAAATGATCATTCATATTGAAATTCTTAAATCTTTAGCAAGGCATATTCTTCTTCGGTTTATACACAATAGATCTTGGTAACTTTAAATGAACTTAAGAGGTATACTAATTAATATAGATAGTAGTTTTTTTTTAATGATGTCCTTGTAGTTTCAATTTAATTTTTTTCGCAGTTATAACAATAAAATAAAATAAAAACTAATATTTTATTAAGTCTCTGACTTAAGTTATAATTATGAAATCAAGACTAAACGTGAACGACTTATGCTTATATTTATGTGAACCTAACTAAAAAAGTTATACCTCATTAAGGGAGGACATTTAAGCTCCACCAACCCTTACCCCACAATGCTCCACCTTACTAAATGATCTCAAGTTTTCTTTTTTCAAGAGTGGAGACGGTGATTGGTGATTCAATCTTAATATATATTTTTAGAAAGTATATATATATATATATATATATATATATATATATATATATATATATATATATATATATATATATATATATATATATATATATATATATATATATATATATATCTTAATTACCTTATAAAGCATTTTTAATCAAATGCTGAATTTTAAATCGTACAAACATACAATGCATCTGGACAATCAATTTATGCATTACAAAAAGATTAGAGTACATCTGGTCAACAGTTGAAAAGGTCAAATCTCTTATCCCGTGTGTTCGATTCCTGTGAAGATTCATTTTAAAATGAGTATCCATGAGGACATTTAAAAAAAATAAAAAAAATACAAATCATAAAATCGAGCATATATCTATGTCTGGAGAAAAAATTGAAAAAAATAAAAAATGATCCATGATTAAATAGTAATTTTTTTATTTTGCATCATTATGATCTATGATTCAATTTTAATGATCCGATTTTTTTTTTCAATTTTTTTTTCTCCCAAACTTAGATCAATGTTCGATTTTATGACTTATATTTTTTTCTATTTTTTTAAGATGTCATCACGACTCCTCACTTTAAAATGAGTTATCACCCAGTCATATATATATATATATATATATATATATATATATATATATATATATATATATATATATATATATATATATATATATATATATATATATATATATATATATATATATATATATATGGTTAGGTTATTGTGTTTTTGATAAGTATTGTGTGTCCGATTGGTCATTTTAATTATTTTGAGCAAGTAATTAATAAATATTATTAAATTAAAGATAACACAAAAATATCATTTAAGTTCATTATAAATGTATTTTAGTCAATTGAGACAAATTTAAAAATGAAAAATTCAAGATTTAGGTGACAACAAATGCTCTTGATTTAAAAAATCGGATTTTTTTTAAACTAATTGAATTTCAAACGTGATTTGTAAGCTTAAATTAATTTTATTCTATTAGAATTTTTTTTGTTAGAATGATGTTCTGTCAGAATAGTATCTTATTAGAATATTATTAAATAATCATTTTTTTGAATCCAGTTGAATAATAACAACATTTTTATATTTATTCAGAGACATCTTAACCTAAATACAAATTCTTACAAAATAGCATCCTTATACATTTTAATATAATTAAACATATTCTAAAAAAAATATAATAAAAAATAAATAAAATTGTAACATCCCTAAAAATACACTCCAAAATTCGTTTTTTAAACACTTAAGAAAATCCATATTTTGTCAAACATCATAAAAACAACCACAAGTATCAAATTTCATAAAATCATGTATCTCAAAACCTCATATCATCTATCAATATATCAATCATATGTCAAAATATCATAGTGAATCCTCTCAGGCCAAAAGTTGTCGTGTGTGTCATGCAGTCATCCGCGAGCTCTTCCACTTATTAGCGGAAGTACCTGAAACCAAACTGAAAACTTTAAGCACGAAGCTTAGTAACTCTCCCCAACTACCACATACCATACACATATCACATAAGCATATCCTAGGCCCCACCCCTGCTACATCAAGTTAGGCTTAGCATCGACTTTCCCGACATCGGCCCCGCCCGGCATCGAACCTTATTCAGCATCGGGCCCCGCCCGACAACGAGCATATCTCAGAATACATGCGAAAACAGTCAAATAAGACACATAAACCTAAGCATATATCATTAACATTTAAACATTCCTCGGTCCCTGCCCGACATCGTATCGTAGTTCGGAAACATGCTAACATTCCTCGTGACTGCCCTGGCATCGAACCGTAATCTGAAAACATACATATACAAATACACGCAAGAATCATAAAGACATCAAGCATACAAGCATTCCTCGGGGCCTCCCCGACATCGGATCAAAATCTGGAAATATACATATAAACCTGCATCGGGATAACCCCAACATCGAACGTAAGTTCGGCATACACTAACATACATAAATGGGCCGACATTGGTGCCTTCGACCCGTTCCTACTAGAGGAAAACCTCACCTCTCAAGCTGTCTGATGTAATCTCGTGTAAGGAATTTCTGATAGCTGCTCCAACGATTCCCCGACTATCATCAATACAATACACTTAGTCAATAATCGGATAATCTTTCACAGGGTAAAATAACCATTTTACCCCTAGTCAAAGTAATCCTTCTGATTGACTCAACTCGTCGAGCTGGTCTATCAACTCGCCGAGTTCTGCTACTCAAGAACCTTATAATCATGATCCACCTCGCCTAGTCATCCTCCCGACTCACTGAGTTCTCCATACACTCATAATCGCAATTAAGCGAGTCAACTCATTGAGTCAACCTCAGACTCATCCAGTTCTGCTTACTCAGAATCGGGACAACCCATCTCGACTCAGCGAGTCCTTCCTTGGACTCATCAAGTTCTTCAACCTCCAAGTCCAAAACTATGTCCAGCTCGCTGAGTCATCTCCTAGACTCAATGAGTTCACTCATTAATAGGATGAGTTGGGGAACCATGACCTGACTCGCCAAGTCACATGAACAACTCGTCAAGTCCCCTAAGATCTTAATCCATTCGGTCGATTTCACCTGGGTTTATTGCCTCCAAAACATAGATCTGGACCCCTAAGGTCTTTATGTCACGTAAAGTTTCCAACTTTATGTTCATGCATGGGCTTTTTAGCTCAAAAGGTCCAAAAAGGTGTTTCATATGGTACATGGGACTCCCATGCCCATAAAGTTAGCACCTTTACGCCATGGATTCCCTCACGGACCTAGATCCACAGTAAATACACCAACTCATCTTTGCATTCATGAATGGTCCCAAAAAGGTACTCCATAATGCCGTAACTACTCCATAAGAAGATCTAGAAAACAAAAGTTCAAGGTAATCTACAACCTTCTCTTAGAGTCCTCTAGCTTCTCTTTCCTCTCACAAGCTTCAAATCACACCAAATCATTTAAAAATGGTTCACACACTCATACAAAGCTCAAGCTCACTGATTAGAGTTTTCTGGACAATAGGAGACGATGAGGGAGGCCACAAAGGGGTGTTATGTTCTTTAAATAGGGTGCCAAACCCTTAAAATTAGGGTTTTATTCTGATAATCCTACTTGTCGAGTCGGGGCTTCCCAACTCGTCGAGTACACTTTAAACCTCGCATCCTTCTCTATCTCTACTCAATGAGTTTGGGGCTACTAACTCGTCGTGTTGCCTTATGAAAATGATTGAATAATATTCAAATACGTACCAAGGATCTAGGAGTTACAAAAATTCTTACAAAGTACATTCTTAAATATAAAATTATTGAACAAATGCACTTGATCTTCTTCAATGGTCCAAGTAATCGACTTGATTACAGCTATTCTTACGAAAATGTGGTGTATTAGTGTAAGAATGTAATTCTTCAACCCATTCTTCCATCCATTCCCGTCACAAAAACTAAGAATGGTTAAAAGCATGTTACTTGCAATTCCTATGGCTTGATATTTTCTGGAATAATGCATAGAATATGATAGAATACATACAATACATTATGATAGAATACATAGATTACATTCTAACAGATACATAGAATACATACCACTATTTTCTTTTTCATGTAAAATAGTAAACAACAAACATATGCAAAATCCATTGCAATTTTCAAGCAAATTCCATTTTTCCAAAACTCAATCAAACAATATTGAATCATATAGGAACAAGAAATGAAAAATCTATCTAATCTAATTTAAAACCAACAATAAAAGAGCGTGAAATGGGATTGAAGAAACCGAATGTAATTCCAAACTTAATCCAAATCAACTAGCATCAAGATGTTGTTATGAAAAGGGTATCCAACCTAATCTAAATTAAGTTATATAGTTATGAAAAAAAATAAGGAACAAAGCGAAGTAAAAAAAATAAAGATTATTAACTATTTTTTCATTGTGGCATTTTATCAAACACATGGAGGTCATGACAGACTCATATCAGGCAGATCGGATAGGCATTGGAGATGGAATATATGAAGTCAATGAAGGATAAAATAGAATATATGAATTCAAAGAAGGAGAAAATAACGAACCTGATGAAGCTAAACTTCAGATTGTGATCCTGATTGCAACTAGCTAAGAAAAACACCTCCAAGAAGTGAAGATTTGACATTAGGAACCCATATCTTCTAGCCCATGTAATTCCCCTTAAAAGATAACTATGTTCCATAGACAAGTAATCTCAAAACACATACAGAAAAAAGGTTGAAAGCATCGGCAACCTATTTCCAGTCATCAATAATAAATAAACAGATGAGTTGGGTGGATCAACTCTA